CAGGAATAATAGTCACTTACCAGTCTACGTCTGCATCAGAACACTTCCATTCCTTCTGAAGTGCTTTTTCCACTTTGGTGTTTGTGTTTTGAGAGGGGACGCTACGTGACACTTAGACGCTCTGCTGATTTCACGTTGCCCTGTATTTCTTGGCAGGAGGATTTTGCGGATTCCGACAAAGAAGCCCCTATTGAATCCACCTTCGTTCGCATCAGAGAAACCCCTTCTGAACAAGAGAGCACCGTCTTCCTTCTGACTGAGAACGGGGAGCGTGCCTACACCGTCAACCACGAAACGAGCCACCCGCCACCCTCCAAAGTCTTCGTCTGTGACAAGCCTGAGGGCGTGAAGGAGCCCTGCGTTACCAGCCGGGAGCTGGCAGACAGCTGCTCTGAGTTCACGCACCAGATCATTGACCAGGTTCTCCAAGGGGTCCCAGGGAAGATCAACAGCACCAGCGACCTGGCTCCAGAATCTTCCATCTTATCATCCAGAAAGGACAGCCAGAGGTCCACCTCTCTGCCAGTCAAGAAAACTGTGCACTTTGAGGCTGACACCTACAAGGAAGCCTCCTGCAGTAGGGACCCTTTCTACAGTCCAGACCTTCACTTCGAAGGAAGCCCAAGAGAGACCAAGGAGTCATCCAAGCAGGACGGACAGGTCTTGGCAGCTGAGGTTGCCGAGGAAACACCGAAACAGGAGGCCCCGGAGATCCTGGAAGCAGCCTCCAGTGAGGCCCCCAGCGATGTGTCTTCAGTGGATGGTAAGGTCAGTCATCCTTCGACTTCCCAGACCTCTCCCTCCTGGAATGGGGCGTCGGAGAGGGCAGCTGGCCCAGGGGAAGAGGGCCGTTCCCCGTCATCCCTGGGAGAGGATACCACTGTGGCCGATTCCATGGAGATCGAGGTTAAGCTGCTGACTGCAGAAGCCGTGGATAAGGAAGACTCTTTCGAAGGCATACCATTAAAAGCCTCGAAAATTAACGACCTCGTAGATTTTCCCTCCACCAGCCAGGCTTCCCACGAGGTTCCTTCGCCTCATGAGAAAAAACCTGCCGGGGAGGAGGTGTCCGAGGATCGTGCTGAGAAGTTGTGTAAAAGGAGAGGTAAGTCTGCCCACAGGAAGACAGATTTGGATGAGCCCCCCGTGAAGCCCAACCAGCAGGAACCTCACAAGGACCCTGGACCAGAAGACCAAGGCTATTCTTTGGAGGCACCGGTGGATAAAAAGGCAGAAGTGTATGAAAAGGCCAAGCACAAGTCCCCCCGGCACCGTCGGGGCGAGGAGGAAGGGGAAGCCGAGGGCCCACGGGGCCTTGGGGGAGAATTGCCTTCCAATCCAGCCAGCAGCAGCAGCAGCTTGGAGACCCTCCACAGCCCCAGCAAAGAAGGCCTGGATTTCAAGCCGTCTCCACCGCCCTCCAGGATCTCCATCATCCCCCATGACCTTTTCTACTACCCGCATTATGAGGTTCCCCTGGCTGCGGTTTTGGAGGCTTATGCAGAAGGCGTGGAGGATTTGAAAAACAAAGAAGTGGACCTCGAAGAGCCAGAGGGGTATCTGCCGGACGCGGGGGCCGGGGAGGCCGAGGCCTCCCAGAGCAGCTGCAGCTTCGCCGGGCGGGGCAAGGGCCACCCCCAGGCCAGCATCGCGGAGGATGCCAGACCAGCCTCGGAACCCAGTCCCCCGTCCCCGCAGGAGGACCACCAGCCAAGTGAGGACGCAGAGAGTGTCCCCGTGCAGGGCCACCAGGTACTTGACTGCGGGTGCGGGAACGCTGAGTGGGGAATTCTGTGCTTCTCCTAAGCTCGGCTTCTTCCTCCGTAAAACAGTGAAAGGCAGCTTCCCTCACAGGCATCCCAGGTCCAGAATTTAAGGAGACACTCACTCAGGCTCAGGCAAGGTCAGGGTTAGCACCCGAGAGGAACACTTGTCGTCAGTTTTGCACCCTGGGTGTCTCGCTGGCCTCCCCCTAGTCTGGGCCCTGCCCACAGGCTGCCAAGGAGATCAGACGAGGTCATGCTTGAGGTGCTTGAGGGTCCAGCATAGTAGTAGCAGAAATCATTTTAAGTAGTAATCGCAGCTCTACCTAGCATGCACTTAGTGAACTTTACCCCCAACCCCGCGGCAGCCTGGGAAAACCAAGCCAGACCTCACACTGGACTCCAGCCTTGATTTTTAAAGGCCTTTTGCCTGTTGAGCACTATTGTTTGGCTCCTGTGGTTAGAAGTGGGTTGTGTAAACAGGACAAGGCGGACGCGCACTGCTGAGCCGGGGCAGCTGGGCACGTGCTCCTCTGCCACCTCGTGTCTCCACGTCATCTGGCCCAGCAGCTTCAGAGGGCCCCCCCAGAGTGATCAGTGAGAGGGTGTGGGGAACCCTGACTGCATGTCCCTCTGGGTCCGCCTCCCCGCCCTCCCCTCCGGACAAGCCCACCTCCTCCCTGCGTCCCAGCCTGCCTCTGGGCTTTGCTGGAGCTGGTCCCCCCATCTGGACGCCCTTCCCCACACTTGGCTTGGCGAGCACTTACTCATCTTCAAAGCCCAATGCCAATAGCATCCCCTCCCGGGAGCCTGCCCAGCCCCTCTCCAGGCAGAGCGGTCACTCTTCCATTTATAGTGATAACATTCCCGATGGTTCTCTAGTGGACTGCTGCTGCTGCTTTCGTGGGTTGTGATTTTCTCTCCTGGGAGAGAGTGAGCATTTGTGTATTAATCTCTGGGCTCCAGAGGCCAGCCTGACAGGAAACAAGGTGCATTGCATGACAGTTTGGGGTATCAGGTGAGGGCAGGTAAATTAAACCCTGAGGTGCTGGAAAGTCAAGACAGGACCCAGCGGAGGCCCAAAGGTGCTCAGAAGAGTGAGAAAGCCTTGCCCTGGGGAGGCTGCAGGAGAAGGGGAATCTGAGTAGCCTTAAAAGGCATTTAGGATTTCGATGGGCCAGAAGTGGTAGCATCATTTATGGGTCTTCCAGCTCCAGGCAGTGGGGAGTAGCTGCCCGAGCACTGAGGGGCCGCAGAGTTCTCTGGCACTAACAGTCTAGAAGCCACGTGTGGCCGGACCTATCCTTTGGTGCCGAGCACCCGTTCTCTTTCTGTCTTCGGCTGGAGAGGAGGGCTGGGTGGCTCCATAGGTGCGAGAGACCTGCCTGCCACCTTCCCCTTCTGCCCAGGGGCAAGGAACCTAGTCCTGTCCCCTGCCCCTAGCCCTCTGTCTGCTGTGTGTCAGAGCAGGCTTGTCCTGTGGGAGACCAGAAGATCCGGCGGGGTGAGAAATGCCCCTCAGTGACATCAGGTCTCGGGGTCCCCAGGTTGGGGGATGACAGCAGCAACTGGGGTGATTCTCTGGATTATTACAGGCCAGAAAGCTCTTTTAGAACAAAAGAAAGGGGACTGGGGTTGGGGAGAGCCTGAGTCGCCTTTCTGCCCCTCTGTGTGACTTAGAATGGCCAATGAGCGCCTAAGTTCCCCTCCCCCAGTGATGGAGTGTGGCCTGTGGGCACGCAGATTAGGCATCCGACGAGCAGGTGCCCACTGCTCCCAAACACACCTTGCCATTGGCTCCCGAGTGTAGGCCTAGCCTTGATCCCTGTGAGTGAGCAGGGGCCGGGGAGGGGAAGGGGTGCAGCCCAGGATGACTTGCCTCCTGACAGAGAGGATGACGGGGTGGAGAATTTCTCCGATACCTGGCCCTTCTTTAAAAAGAAAAGAGAAAACTGTCTTCTAAATGGACTAGAAAATGGCAAGTTCTACTTCCAGTCTTTAAGAAAGTAAGTCCTGTCCTCACTTCGCCTTTCAGAAAAGGTAGCATTTGGGCTTCCCTGGTGGCGCGGCGGTTGAGAGTCTGCCTGCTAATGCAGGGGACACGGGTTCGAGCCCTGGTCTGGGAGGATCCCACATGCCGCGGAGCGGCTAGGCCCGTGGGCCACAACTGCTGAGCCTGCGCATCTGGAGCCTGTGCTCCGCGACAAGAGAGGCCGCGATAGTGAGAGGCCCGCGCACAGCGATGACGAGTGGCCCCCGCTTGCCACAGCTGGAGAAAGCCCTCGCACAGAAACGAAGACCCGACACAGCAAAAATAAATTAATTAATTAATAAACTCCTACCCCCAACATCTTCTTTAAAAAAAAAAAAAAAAGAAAAGGTAGCATTTGCTCATTGATAATGGAGGAGCAGCTGGCCTTTCAGATTGCTGAGAGCGGTTTTAATTTCTGCAGGGAGCTTTGTTCTCCTGGGCTGCACTGGCCGGCCACTCTGATCCTCTTATTGGGACACCTGTTGAGCAGGTTTTTCCAGCCCCTGTGAGAATTCTTGAGAGGTGCTGCCAACAATTCTCACGCTTCTCGATTTCACGTGGGAGCATCCCTGGTGGGTTTCAGAGTGCCTGTTGGCGGGGGGCGGGGGGGGGGCGGGGGGAGGTCAAAGATTCCTTATCATATAACTGCTACAAAGGTGGCACTACCATACACCTTCGGCCAAAAGCACGGTGAAGATTCATCTCTCCAAACACAGGAGCCACCTTCACACCCCTTGGCCCACCTGGCCTCTAGGATTTGTTCCTCTGTTAAAGTGGATGATGGTTGTGTGAAGGGTCCAACCATTGTCCACTGTGAGGGACATCCTTTATAGGAAGCACTGTGGTATAGTGGGAAGAGGCTGATAATCATTATACCCATTTGACAGACAAGGAAACCAAGGATCAGAGAGATAGTCAGTTGCTCAAGGTCAGATAGCTGACTTAGTCAGGATCTGAAACCAGGTCTTACTGACTGTAAAACCCGTGCTGTTTTCGATCCATCAGTCTGGAGCATTTGGAACTCTGCCCGGGGAGCAGCAGTTCGGGTGGGCTTCTCCTCCATGGTGGGCTGTGCTGGAAGGAACCCATGGACGAGGCAGGATTGGAAGGGGCGCCCTAGCTGGGCCTCGGAGTCAAGGTGGAGCAGGGCGCTGCCGGGTGGTGTCACGCACTCAACATCTCAGCATAAAATTCTGATTTGTGTTTGGTTGTCATATCCTTCAGTCCCAGGAGTTTCCAAACTCGGAAAACTTAGCAAACCCATTAGAAGAAAAGGTAATGGAAGAACCGATCAGCAGTAAAAGAAAGGAAAAAAGAAAACATGTGGACCACGTAGAAAGTTCAATATTTATAGCACCCGGAACTGTTCGCTCCTCAGATGACCTGGAAGAAGACACCTGTGACCACACAGTCCTTTCCAGGTATTTTATTAACAACTTCTCATCCCGGAGCCTGAGCTGGGAAGCACCTCTCTGAACTCATCCCGTTTCCGGTTTCTGATTGGATGGGGGACGCAGGGGTGGGGCTGGACAGCAAGGGAAACAGATTCAGACCAAGTCCTCGTTCTTCACACCTGGGCTCCCCCACTGACCTCCCCCGCATCCCGCCCCCAACCAGTATCAGACCTGCCCGTAATCGGCAAAACCAGAAGAACCTGAACCTTGCCTTCTCTCCTCGCTCCACGTAGCTTTGGGTGGAAACTGGCAGTGAGCAGAGAGGTGGCTGAACCATAGGTAGGGGTGGGGTATGAAAAGTAATAGGCTCGGAGACTCTGCCGGCTGTCTCTGGCCCCTGATAACCTCCGGTCAGGCTAGGTAGAGACCAAACTTAGCCGTTTATAAGCATCTTACAGGATCAGAAGGGAGGCACTGCATATGCGTGGAGGGGACCATTTATCACTGTCGCATGGAAGCTGGACTTTAATATGACCGCGTCACCCACGAGTTTGCGTCCAAGGCAGTAAGGGTGGTCGATTTACCACAGGGCAGGAGGAGGCAGGGGGGATAATGCTCTCTAAGTGCTAGGAAGCTTGTAGCACACATCTGCTCTGTCACTCTGAGGCCACTGGATGGTCCGGATTTGTCCCGGGGAAAATATGTAGCTGCTGAATGTCAGAAGACCCTGGTCTCTCCCCATTATCACTTATCATCACAACGATCACCATTTACCAGCCCTTATGTATCAGGCATTTCCCGTACATTTGTTCATCAATTCTCGTGGGCACCCCGATAGGCAGGATTGTGCATCATTGGGAAGCTTCGGGGGTACCTCCCAGCTTAGGAGATGACAGAGCCGGGGTCTTGGACCCAGACCTGTCACATGCCACGGTCCACGTTCCTTCTGTGACCCCGCGTTGGCTGTGCTGGGTGAGCCATGCTGGATGTAAAGGGAAACTATTGAGATAAGCACTGGGGGAGTGGGTGGGGGAAGCCCATACAGGGAGAGCCAGAGGAGAGGCCGGCCGATGCCCTGCTTCCCACCTGCCCTCCTCCTGGCTCCCGTGCTGAGCTGTGGGGGACAACGGGAGAGCAGACGGGAGCCTGGGGAGGAAGGCTCAAGGCACCACGGGAGGCTGCTGCCACCTTAGCCCGTGACTCCCAGAGTCCTCTCTGGCCTTGGCTGTGACTATAGCCAGCAGACATCTATGTCTCATGTGCAGCTGGGCCCGACCCCACTCTTAAGTGCAGATGAGCACTTGCAGGCAAGTGGTCCAGGGCTGTCATCTACTCACCCACAACTCAGGAGGGGCCGCTGGTCATTTGCCAGACTGCCCCGCTTCTCCCTAAGCAGGTCAATCCTCAACAGTCTTTGAGCGGTCACTACGTGATGGAGACGTGGGGACTTCGGAACAGGTCCGCCATGGCTCCGCCCTCCAGGGTCTCGCAGCTGGAGGGAGAGGAGACGTGCTCCATCTATCCTGCTGGGACTGGGTGGGCACCTTAGGTGTGAGAGGCAAGTGAGGGTTCGCGGTGAGACCTCAGAGGCAGGCAGAGAGGGTCAGGGCAGCCTAAGCGCTGAGATGTCATTTGAATTCCGCCTTGAGGGATGAGTGGGATTTGGGTTTGGGAGAGGGAAGCAGGGGACTTTCCACGTGGAAGAAACAGCCTGAGGAACAGCTGGCATGTAGCAGGCACCTCAGGTAATACTGAATGCGAGGGGGCACGGGAGGAGAGACCAGGGGGGCAATGGTGGGGCAAAGCAAGTGAACTGGGTGCGTGCTGCTTCGGAAGGACCAGCAAAACCTGCCCCGGTGAAGATGGGACCGCGGGGGCGGGATATAGAAAAGTAAACCGATATTTCGGTGTCTGTGGGCGTGAGGCCTGGCTGACCTTTCAGTGCAAAGGTTTTACTCTGATCCCCCAGTTCCTCCATCCCATCTCGCTTCAGGCAAAGCTGTAACTGTTATGAAGCATTTTCGCCGAGGTAGAAGCTTAGCCTCGAGGGGCGCTCATGCCCGTGAATGAACGCGCACCCCGGCGCCCGTCCTGCGCCCACGGCCGTCTCACCTGCCCGCCCCGTGTTACACTCGCGAGAACTGAGTTCGGAGAGGTCATTGCCTGGCCGAGACTATGGAATGGGGCAGAGTCCCGGCATCTCTCTTCCCAGGGAAGGCACAGGATGTTTTCCTGGCTGTCAGTCACCCCCTTGGCTTCCCGTTGGTCTCAGCAGAAAGGCCGCTGGTCCAGAGCCTGCAGGACCCCACCCCTCATGGCCTGTCCCCCAGCCTCAGCTCCATGCACCCTCTGTCACCCTCTCCCCCATCCCTAGCACACTAAGCACGCTGGCCTTAGTTGAGGCCCTGGAATGCCCCCCAGCATAAGTTCCTTCATCCTTGAGGACCCTCGGTCCCCTGCCTGCTCCCTTGGGTCTCAGCTCCACTACCACTTCCTCCAAGCAGCCTTCTTGGATTCTTCCAGGCTATTTTTGATTCCCCTTTCTGTGTTCCCATAGCCTCTGTTCTTTTTCTCCACAGCATTGATCAAAGCAATAATTTCTTTTTTTTTTTAACATCTTTAATGGGGTAAAATTGCTTTACAATGGTGTGTTAGTTTCTGCTTTATAACAGAGTGAATCAGTTATACATATACACATGTTCCCATATCTCTTCCCTCTTGCCTCTCCCTCCCTCCCACCCTCCCTATCCCACCCCTCCAGGCGGTCACAAAGCACCGAGCTGATCTCCCTGTGCTATGCTAGGTTCTTCATAACATTTTTTTTTTCTTAAATTCCATATATATGTGTTAGCATACGGTATTTGTCCTTCTCTTTCTGACTTACTTCACTCTGTATGACAGACTCTAGATCTATCCACCTCATTACAAATAGCTCAATTTCGTTTCTTTTTATGGCTGAGTAATATTCCATTGTATATATGTGCCACATCTTCTTTATCCATTCATCCGACGACGGGCACTTAGGTTGTTTCCATCTCCGGGCTATTGTAAATAGAGCTGCAATGAACATTTTGGTACATGACTCTTTCTGAATTCTGGTTTCCTCAGGGTATATACCTAGTAGTGGGATTGCTGGGTCATATGGTAGTTCTATTTGTAGTTTTTTAAGGAACCTCCATACTGTTCTCCATAGTGGCTGAACCAATTCACATTCCCACCAGCAGTGCAAGAGTGTTCCCTTTTCTCCACACCCTCTCCAGCATTTATTGTTTCTAGATTTTTTGATGATGGCCATTCTGACTGGTGTGAGATGATATCTCATTGTAGTTTTGATTTGCATTTCTCTAATGATTAATGATGTTGAGCATTCTTTCATGTGTTTGTTGGCAGTCTGTATATCTTCTTTGGAGAAATGTCTATTTAGGTCTTCTGCCCATTTTTGGATTGGGTTGTTTGTTTTTTTGTTATTGAGCTGCATGAGCTGCTTGTAAATTTTGGAGATTAATCCTTTGTCAGTTGCTTCATTTGCAAATATTTTCTCCCATTCTGAGGGTTGTCTTTTGGTCTTGTTTATGGTTTCCTTTGCTGTGCAAAAGCTTTGAAGTTTCATTAGGTCCCATTTGTTTATTTTTGTTTTTATTTCCATTTCTCTAGGAGGTGGGTCAGAAAGGATCTTGCTGTGATTTATGTCATAGAGTGTTCTGCCTATGTTTTCCTCTAAGCAAAGCAATAATTTCTATAATCATTTATGGAAGGATGTATTTATCACCTGCTCTTCCCCTGGATGGTGAGCCAGCTGCCTGGAGGCGGGGAGGGCACACCAGCATACCCCAGCGTTTAGCTTGGCACCTGCTAGAAAACATTACAAATATGTGGTCTGGGGGGCAGTGGAGAGTGGTCCTGCGTTTCTAGGACCACTTGTTGAGTTGACTCTTATGGGCGCTGTTGGGTTCCAGGCACAAGTGTCTATTTTTTTCTTTGTAGGTGCATTTTGTTTCATTTCTGTGCCATGATACCAGCCAGGAAAAACTAGCACAGGCTTTGGATTGAGGAAAAGGACTGAAGTTTCCCTAGGCCTAGCCCCACCCCTGGCATGTAGGAGGTGCTCAAAACCTGTTAGCTGGAAACGTGCCTCAGGAAAGGGAAGAACTTGGGGATGTTTGGAGGACAGCCATGGGCGGGAACAACAAGGCTGCCAATGATGGGAATAAACTCGTGGGTCAGGTGCCACTTTCCTGGACCCCATAATGCCACATAGTAGGTCTGCCTTGAGGAAACTAACATGACTGTCTCTGTATCGGGCCCATCCACATGCAACACCTCTTTCTCCTGTGGAGCAATAGGACAGGGCCACTTTGACCTGCAGTAGGCTAGTATCCCCACCGTCTCCATGAAGTAGGTAGGGTGGGAATAATGATCCATTTCACAGATAAGGAAAACTGATCAGAGATGTAAATATTTGATCAAGGTTGCCAGTTAATCAACCAGGAGCCAGGATGACAGCCCAGGCCTCTGGTTGGGTATCTTTTTGCCTTAGCCCTGAGTGAGCCAGCTTTATTGGAAGATCAGAGAAACACATCAGCCTCAGAGATATAGTCAGAAAATTAGCCTCCTCGTGTATGAAAGGAAGAGAGGTGGTCCACCCAAGAGCTAGGCAGTCAGCAGCATTGTGCACAGCAAGGAGACTGCAGAGGGAGTCCGGGTCCCAGGTCTCAGCCCAGGTCTGACTTTAGCTTGCAGAGGACGTCTGGTGAGTCCCAGGACTTCGGGATACTTAGAAAAAGAGATCCCTTCCTGCCCCCAAATCCTATGATTTTTAAGAATATGTGGTCTGCTTTCTATTTGAAATTCTTTCTCACTGTTTTCTTTCTTTCTTTTTTTTTTTTTTGTTGACGAGGCCTCAGTGTATCCCTTTCACATCATCCTGCTGTTTGTAAACACACTCCACCCCGAGTGGGTCTACTGGATACCATGTCTCATTTCCATCACTAGGTCAGAAATCAGAGCTTGCCTAAATCCACATGTGGCAGCCTCAGGATGGGGGCAGCCTCAGGATGGGGGCAGCAAGAAGTTCTTGGTGGCACCAATTCAAAACGTGTGTTTATTTTGCAGGACAAGTCACAGTGACTCCAGCATTTACGTTCAACGACATGCTAATAGGTCTTTGGAACCGGTTAGTATGTGAATTTCTTCTTACATCTGGCCCCGCTAATCAATTCCTTTCCATCCTTCCTCCTCCCCAGCCCAGAGCTTTGAAATTACTGACTTGCAACAGCTATGCTTTGGGATAGAAGACAAGCAAATTGAAACCTTGTCACTAAGCATAGTCCAATCAGATGTCCAGTTTGGGCAATAGGGGTTGTAAATAAAGTGATGATTTTAAAGCCCAAAGGCACCTTTGTCATAACAAACGCATCCAAGACCCCACCCCTGCACACACGTCCAGAAAGATCACGTTCAAAGACAGAGGTGCCACATAAGCAGAGGGTTCGCTTTGTCTTCGCAACCACTTAGCTGTGGATGTGTTGGGACCCAAAGCCCTGGGATCCACAGCTTGCCCTGATTCAGGTTGTTATGGGGGAGGGGACCCTTCCGTCCGCCCGTGGGAATAACGTAGAATACTGCATAGTCATTTTACTTTGGAACTAGATGTTCACAAGATTGAGCAAATCATGGCATGCTCGACTTTGTATGTTTAAAATCATTTCATTTTCTGTTTCAGAGATTTCATCTTTACTAATTGGGTTGCGGGGTTTTGTTTATGAATTTCACTGTAGGATCATTTTAGTTATGTTCAGTTGAGGAGCGCAGCAGATCAGGATGACAGAAGAAACCGAATGTTAACCAGGTAGGTGGCAGTAGTCCAAGCTTGGTGGGGCTTAAAAGGATATTTTTTCTTTAATTTTGCAGCCTACCTTCTGGGGGTGGCTATTCTCCAGCAAGGCTGTGTTGGATAACAGTATTAATAGTCTGGGCTCATGCAAGAAAATACCCGTTCCGGAAAAAATGAATGGAAATTGAATATGAGTGGGAGGGGAAAGTAGATATGAATTCATGTTGATGGGCAGGGCGTGGTTCAGAAAATGACTTGGTTTAAAGACAGGTCTGGGTCATGAGGCTGTGGCTGTATCTAGATGACACAGTGGTATAAGCTGGCCCTCTGAGGCAGAGCCAGGCAGAAGAGGTAGGGACGGGATACTGTGTGTGTTCTAAACGCTGTAGCCCCTGACAACTGTGTTCATTCCGTGTCGCCACTGCAGGTACAATATTCAGAAGCTCACTGAGCTGATTTTACAGTTTTATGACATCAGAACAGACATGAAGAGGGAATGCAAACATGCCAGGATGTCTATGAAAGTATTTCTTACTGTTGGAGAGCTACATGACCTAGACTAAGAGTGTCGAATTGCTGTAACACCGCCCGTTTAGAACATAGGCAGGCAGAGAAATCTAAAACTCTGACAACTCTGAGATGCCCCTATCTCTGTTAAAGTTATTGAATCACTTAATTTAATTGATTTTTTAAAAAAGATTTGCCACGGATTTGAATTGGCTTGGAAGGACTTAGATTATTGGAATGGAAAGACCTTGTCTGAAAATTGCCCAACACCCAGGAGTGTAATCTTTACAAGTCCACCTGTCTGGCTACTAAAAAAACGAGGCAAGATTTGTTTCCCTCCCCTGCCGTAAAATGGAAATATTAATTCACGTTTTCCGCCAGGTTTGACATCCTGATAGGAAAAATAGTACTTTTAGCTTTTATGAGATAGAGTCTTTGAAAATTGAACCCGCAAGGCTGAGAAGTGCAGTCGTGTTTTCCATGCTTTTGAGCATTTATTACCCTTGCAATAAAAATATGCAGTTTAAAATTTCTCTAAAAACAGTTTTAAGAAGCAGAGAGAAATTCTGTCCGTTGTCTGTTATCTGCGTGGGAATCGCTCAGTTTCCAGACCAGGGCAAAGGTTTAATCCCCTCTTGGCCTGGGCTTTCACTGTATCAGGAGATGGTCCAGGGAGGAGGAGGTAGTTTTTGCTTCTCATGATCTCCATCACCCTGATGACCCTGAGAGAGAAGCCTACACTCTAGGTTCTACAAATGCCTCTGCAAGCAGAGGCCCCCAAGCCCAACTGCAATCAGATTATGGGTGCTGACCCTTTCCTGTCACCACCACAACAGTGCCCTTCTGGGCTTTCTCCACCAGGCAAAACTAAAATGTCACTTTAGCACTACCTTCTGTTAAAATAAGAGAAGAAAGATACATCTGACCAAAATCTGGTAACCTGGTAATTATTTGCAAGGTTAGATTCCAAAAACCAAAACAAAAACTTGGGGGTACAGAGGTGCGTCTTTTGGTTGCTGATGGCTGTTTTTAAATGATCTGTCATCAGGGAAGCTCCGATTCTTTCTTCAGATTCCTTAGGAAGTCCCCTGTATTCCTAGGGAAGAACGAAGAGCCATCAGCTTCTAACACTGCGTTAAGGGCACTGCGGTGTAAGGGATAGCGTCCTGGAAGGGTGTAGACCTGGTCCAGGTCCCAGTTGTATCACAAAGTCATTGTATGGCCTTGAGAAAGCCCCCCTCCCACCCCCTCTCCATGCCCATCTGCAGAATGGGGCTAACAGCTCCTCCCTCTTGGCGCTGTGAAGATGAACTGAGTGGGGTTAAAAGCTCAAAGCATCCTGGGACCCAGCCCTCCGCCTGGGTCTGCACCTCACTGGGAAGCCCTCAGCTCTCCAGTTGGGCAGTGAGGCTGGAGTACAGGGAGGGAGGGGCCTCCACTGGGCTGGGGACCCACTTGTGACTGCCTTGGTGTGTCTCCCCTCCTGCAGGAAGGCCAACAACTCGGGCGAAGCCAGGCCGCAAGAGATCCACAGCCCACAGAGCGACTCGCTGATGCAGTTCGTCCAGCAGCCAGACGTGATGTACTTTATCCTCTTCCTCTGGCTCCTGGTTTATTGCCTGCTGCTCTTCCCCCAGTTGGACCTCAACGGACTCTGATGCGTGCGTCTGCATAATAAAAAGACAGGATCCTGGCCAGGGGTGGGCAGTCTCCTTACTCCCTTTTATTGCCTGTTCTGGATGGGGCACTTCGGCAGATGGTGGAGGACCTCCGAGGAAACTTAGACTCCCTGTCTCCACTTTTCTTTTTCATGTTTCCTTTCTCTCCTGTAAGTCCTAAGCACGCTTTTCTCTTTGGCTATGGACTCAACACTCAGGTGTGTGGCCAGATCCTTGGGTGGGTTTGTTTGTGTGCCTTGCTGTCAGGTATTAAGCTTTGTTACTAATACTCATAACTGGGTCTTAGCTCGCCCCACGTGCTGGTTTTTAAGGTCCCAGATGGACCTGAGTTTCTCGCCTCCCGATGAGAAATAGGACGGATGCCTCAGGGAGACCCCCGCTGGGAAGAAAACTGCCCTACTTTCCTCTGAGAGGGGAGTCTGAGTGAAGGTGCTGGGGGTCCACGCACCTGTTGTGGTCTGGTGATTGGTCGTTTTCTTTGGGGGGATATCAGAGCAGCACAAAGCTGCCGGGTCCAGCAAAGGGTGTCCATGACGGGCAAAGTTCGAGGAAAGTGAAGGCTAGGTCGTGAGCTGCAGTGCACACTTGTTCACCCTCGTTTTCTTTTCTGTGGGGGGCGTGCATTTTAATTTTCCTTTTGCATTGACTGAACTGAGGTAAAGCTGTGATTTTCAAACCTTTCCCACCTATGGAATCCTCCTTTCAAGTGGATTCTCAGGGGCCAGTCTAGTTGATACATGAAGAGCAGAGCTTTGGCTGACACAGGGCAAGGCCTGGGATCCCTGTCGCTTTGCCCGGGCAGCTCCCAGCTTCCACTCGTGCCTCCTGAAGCATCTATGCTGGTACCCAAGGCCCCGCAGGTCACTGTCAAAAAGAAAAAGCCCCTGAAAGCCCCACGGAGGAATGCAGAAGTGGCCTGGCTGAGAATGAGCTCTGACTGATGTTAGAGCAGGAAGGGGTCCAGCATATTCCTGCTCTGAGAGAGATTTTGTGCACACCTGCCTCACAGTGTGAGTCTCAGCACGGGCATCTTTCGTGGTCAGTTTTGATGGGTTTCTTGAAAAGGAAGAGGGTTTCTGGAAAGCACCCTGAGAAGTAACCAGAACGGGCAGGTGGTGAGAGGACAGAGGCATCCACCTGCCCTTCCATCTTCCTTCTGCCCTGGGCTCCCTCCGCTTCCTGCTTCCTGTCAAGATGCAGGCCATGCGTCCCTGTGTATTCCTCCTCACGTTGTCCTCCCCCTCAGAAAGCGTGTATATGGTGAGACTTATAAAACCACAGCCTATTAGGTCAGGAGGGGCA